CTTTGACATGGACGTTTGTGACGATCACGCTCCTCCCCCTCCCCGAGACTGAAGAGTGCTCCCTGTCTGGCCGCCGTCTCCTCCCCGTCGGGTGTGGCCGGGCTGTCCAGTGGGAGCACCTCGGAGGGGACACAGCAGAGGCCCCATGCTTGTGATGTATGTTGCGGATCATTTTCCCCCATTCTGTCCTTTTTTGTTAAATGGTGGTGAAAAGCACATCACATAAACTGTACCACCTTAACCACTTGAAAGTCTATATCCCAGACTGTCTTTTATCTTTAGACTTCACTTGTGGTTTGTTGCCACGGTGCAGGTTTATTTTTATGAAGCCAAATGTATGAGTATTTCTTTAATTGTGCTGGCGTGGGAGTCGGTGCTTCTCCCCACACCCGGGTTTCAGGGAAGTTCCCTCGGGTTTCTTCTTCATGTCAAGATCTCCAGTCTATTTGGAGTTCCTTCTTGTATGTGATGTGAGGAATGGGTCTCATTTTATCTTTTTCCAAGTGGCTATTGGAGGAAGTTTTTAAACTAGAAGAGAAATTCAGAAGATGCTGCAAGAGATGGGGTCTTTACGGCGACCGATGTCTCGCTAAGTCAGAACAAAAAGACTCAGGCACACCCACCAGAAGGACCAGAACTTTGAGCGGATCAATGCCACAGAGCTGGGCTCAGGGAAACGGAAGGGATATGGGAGGGAGCGAAAGCATTTAACGGGGGAAGGTCTGGGTAAGCCGATAAGTTTTGGGGAATCAAGGGGGATAAATACACGTGAGTAGGGCTCTGAAGTTAGAGGCAATGAATTGAACAAAAAAGAAACAGTAGCTTCCAAAAGGGAGTGTGACCAAGAGACGCCCGTAGAGGCAGGTGATGAACATCCAGGGCTGGCCGGGCACGGGGGCTCACGCCTGTGATCCCAGCACTTGGGAAGGCAGAGGCATGTGGATCGCTTGAGCACAGGAGTCTGCTGAAGTAGGGGACAGCTTACGGTTTGGATCAGGGTCATCAAGCTGGGGACGTGCCAGGTACACGGAGGTGGGGGAGATGTTGGGGGCAGGTGTGGACACTAAGCAATGGTGTCGGAGGCTGCTGGGGAGTCTCAGGGTCTGGCAGGAGCAGATGTGAACTCCCAGGAGTGGTGGACATGAATTAGGGGTCCTAGAAGCCTCACCACCGACTAAGGAAGCTGTGAAGTAAAGACCAGAGAACCCGGGGGAGGGGGAGGCCTTAGATGCTCCCCACCCTATCGACCAGGATGGACCCAGGCATCCACCCAGCTGGGTGGAGCAGAGACTCCAAGGCAGGAAGGACCTGAGTTCTGTCTCCCTGTCGTTCTCTTGGTCCCTTTCACGCTGTCTTCCCCGGCCCCCATCTGTCAATGGCCATGATTAGGTCACAGACCCAAGCTCTGGCCACCAGGGCAGGCAGAGAGATGACCCAACCTCCATAGCACCAGTGGAGGGGGGCGGGGGCTGCCTCCCACCTATGGGGGATGTCATTTGCTTGGCAGCCAGAGGGACAGGCCACCACCCCACCCTTCCTTGCCAGCACCACACCTGGCAGATGGAGAAACTGGGCCCATGGTTGCCTCTGCCCACACCCTCCTGTGGCTCTCATCTCCGTGGTCCAGCAGATGTGGGGAGCCAGGGTGAGGAATTTGGACACTGGAAAACGTGTGGAAGCAGTTAAAACCTGAAGGGACCAGGAGGGGCAGGGTGGGCACCCATCTCAGGATAAGTCGAGGAACAGCAGGCGTTTTCCACGCCTGGCCCCTTGGCTCTGTTCTAAGAGTTCACACGCATTAACATTGCATTCCAGCTCAGTCAGACACTTTTCAGATGCCCATTTTGCAGATAAGCAAGTTGAAGTACAGAGAGGTTAAGTTACATACTCAGAGTCACACAGCCAGCAAGTGGCAGAACGGGACTTGAGCACCAGCTGACTGGCTGCAGTCTGTGCCCTGAACCAGTTTGCAGTAGCATTGAGCGCTTTACGTGTCAGGCGGTTTGCAGGCACTTAGGGTCTTCGCAACAGCCCTTTGATGCCAAATGCTAAAATAATATCTGGGGAAAAGCTTTTGACCCCTTTTAGCAAACAAAAATTTTATGATGGCAAGAATTTATCCTGCCTGGTTAATCTGATTTTTCCCTTTTTAGTACATGGATGGTCCCTAACCTTACCCCTGAATAGAAAACTCACGACTTCCCCCAGAGCTGTGCAGCTCTCAAAGCATTTTTTTCCCCCTGAGATGGAGTCTCGCTCTGTAGCCCAGACTGGAGTGCAGTGGCGCGATCTCGGCTCACTGAAGCCTCTGCCTCCCGGGTTCAAGCCTCCTGAGTAGCTGGGATTACAGGCGTGTGCCACCATGCCCAGCTAATTTTTGTATTTTTAGTAGAGACGGGGTTTCACCATGTTGGTCAGGCTGGTCTCGAACTCCGGACCTCACGTGATCTGCCCGCCTCGACTGCCCAAAGTGCTGGGATTACAGGTGTGAGTCACCACGCCCGGCCTCAAAGCATTTTTGTTAGCGGTCTTTTACGATTTCTCCACCGGGCGGGGTGGATCACGCCTGTAATCCCAGCACTTTGGGAGACCAAGGCGGGCGGATCAGAGGTCAGGAGTTTAACACCAGCCTGGCCAACCTGGTGAAACCCCGTCTCTACTAAAAATACAAGAACATTAGCTGGGCGTGGTGGCAGGTGCCTGTAATCCCAGCTACTCAGGAGGCTGAGGCAGAATTGCTTGAACCCGGACCCAGGAGGCGGAGGTTGCAGTGAGCCGAGATCGCTCCACTGTATTCCAGCCTGGGCTACAGAGCGAGACTCCGTCTCAAAAAAAGAAAATTCTCGCTTTTGCGGGTGGCGGCGAGCGCGGAGAGGACGCCATGAAGGCTTCGGGCACCCTACGAGAGTACAAGGTGGTGGGTCGCTGCCTGCGCACCCCCAAATGCCACACACAGCCCCTCTACCGCATGCAAATCTTTGCGCCTAATCATGTCGTCGCCAAGTCCCGCTTCTGGTACTTTGTATCTCAGTTAAAGAAGATGGGCCGGGCGCGGTGGCTCACGCCTGTAATCCCAGCACTTTGGGAGGCCGAGGTGGGCGGATCACAAGGTCAGGAGATCGAGACCACGGTGAAACCCCGTCTCTACTAAAAATACAAAAAATTAGCCGGGCGCGGTTGTGGGCGCCTGTAGTCCCAGCTACTCGGGAGGCTGAGGCAGGAGAATGGCGTGAACCCGGGAGGCGGAGCTTGCAGTGAGCCGAGATCGCGCCACTGCACTCCAGCCTGGGCGACAGAGCCAGACTCCGTCTCAAAAAAAAAAAAAAAAAAAAAAGAAGATGAAGAAGTCTTCAGGGGAGACTGTCTACTGTGGGCAGGTGTTTGAGACGCACCCCCTGCCGGTGGAGAACTTCGGCATCTGGCTGCGCTGTGACTTCCGGAGCGGCACCCACAACATGTACCGGGAGTACCGGAAGCTGACCACTGCGGGTGCTGTCACCCAGTGCTACCGAGACACGGGCGCTCGCCACCGCGCCCGGGCCCACTCTATTCAGATCATGAAGGTGGAGGAGATTGCAGCCAGCAAGTGCCGTCGGCCAGCTGTCAAGCAGTTCCACGACTCCAAGATCAAGTTCCCGCTGCCCCACCGGGTCCTGCGCCGTCAGCACAAGCCACGCTTCACCACCAAGAGGCCCAACACCTTCTTCTAGGTGCAGGGCCTTCGCCTGGGTGTGCCCCAAATAAACTCAGAAACGTCCCGGTGGGAAAAAACAATTCTCTTGGAACTGTTCTGTGCCTGTCAACTGCATGGCGCTAGGGGGCGCTGCAGCACCACGGTGTTTTATAGTCATTACAACACTCGTCCAGCAGATGGCGGCAAAGTGTTGGGGAAAGAGGATGCCCTTTTGCCAATCCCCATATATTTTTCTGATTTTCATTTGTATGGTATGCAAACATTTCCAATTCTCAAAATTTGGTCTCAGCTACCATTCTAACTATTTGAGGCTTACGCTTCTCTGTTTCCCGTCCACTCTGGGCCGAAGTCTTCCTGTCAGTGAAACAGGGATGTTTAAAGGCGTTTTCTTGGGCCCGTTTCCCAGAGCTGTCCTGACGACCCATTTGGGGCAGTTTCTCTCTTGTTGGGGCGTGGAGCTGCTCTTAAGGCCCTGCCTGCTGGATCCTCAAATAACGTGGTGGACACTCCCCTCCAGACCTCCTCTGTGGACCCAGGCTCTCCTCTCTCAACCCCTTGGAGTTCCCACCTCTTCTGGGCCCCAAAGTCCTGTCTCTAACTCAAAGACAGTTATCTGTGTTAAAATAAAATCACATGGGCCGGGAGCGGTGGCTCACGCCTGTAATCCACTGCGGGAGGCCGAGGCGGGTGGATCACTTAAGGCCAGGATTTCGACACCAGCCTGGCCAACATGGAGAAACCCCATCTCTATTAAAAATACAAAAATTAGCCACGCGTGGTGGCGCCTACCTGTAATCCCAGCTACTCGGGAGGCTAAGGCACGAGAATTGCTTGAACCCGGGAGGCAGAGGGGCAGTGAGCCGAGATCGTGCCTCTGCACTCCAGCCTGGGTGATAGAGGAAGACGCCGTCTCAAAAAGAAAAAAAAAAAAAGTAACCTTTTCTGCGCTTGCTCGCTTTATTTTTCAGAGCTCTGATTGCACCTGGTGCGCTCATTTGTTTCTCAATAGCACGCCGACTTGTCAGGGAGGTTAATAGAGGAAATTGGTGACACGGGCGTTGCAATCAGGAAGTGCTGAGAGTAGGAAGTCAGGTGGGCTCACGACTAGCAATGCAGGGAGCTGCTCGCTCGTGAGGATTGGAGGAGCCACGTGGAAAATGCTGCTGCCCAGAGCCCAGGTGGCTGCGCTGGCCAGGCAGGAGCCCCTGGTTCGCAGCGGTGGCCGTCACTGCTGCTGCTGCCACCACGGCCCAAGTATCCCCTAGATGGCGTCCCCTTCCTCTGGCTTCCTCTCCCATAGCAACAGCAGTCCCTGCAGAGGACTCTGGAGTTGTGGTTGCGGGGTCCTACCCCGCAGGGGGCAGGTGGGCGTGGCGGGGAGAGGCAGTAGAGTCCCTCAAGGTCAGCTCTGACCTGTCCCCGAGGTGTTCCCGGCCCCAGCAACTGCTCAGTTATTTGTTGAATACTGACGGTCGATAGAAATCACCTGGACTGGGGAAGGCTGACCCCAGATGCGCCTACTGGGGAATGTGCTGGAAAGATACGCCCCCTGGAGGGAGTGCGCCCAGGGAGTGGGGAGGAGCGTTTGAGATCGAAGGAGTGGCCGCGTAAAGGCCCTGAGGTCTCGCAAGGAAGGGTCCTGGGGTTTCCCAGGCCCTGTTGTAGGTGCAAGAAACAGGAACCTCCTAGAGCGAGCATGCGGTGGGGAGGCAGTGGGTATGCCTCCTAGATGAAGACGAAATCCATGCATTAGGGAGTGAGGCCTGCTGGGGACAAAAGTCTGGCAGGCAGGGCCCGAGGAGGGTCGGGGCAGGAGAGGGTTTGCAGTCATCGGAAACGGGGCGGCCTGGAAAACCCTCACTGAGAAGGTGCCAAGTAAGCAAAGACCCGAAGGAGGTGAGGGGCCAGCAGATGCCTGGGGGAAGCGCATGACGGGAGATGCAGGAAGAGCCAGGTTAAAAGCCTCAAGTGGGTGTGATAATAGGGGGTTATTAATGTGTGACTACTGCCCCTCCCGTGCCAGGCTTGGTGCTGGCGTAGGGGAGGCAGTGGCGCCAAAGAAGGCCACCTGCCTTCATGGTGGTCGCTGTTGGGTTGGATTCCCACGTGCCTGGAGTTTAAAAGTGAGGCAGCCTGGAAATGAGCTTGCAGAGTTCGCTGGGGGACCTGGGGGAGGTTCCGCCGTGTAGACTTTCAGAGAGCTGGCCCGGGGGGGATCTGGATCCTGAACCCCGCCGATCTCGCAGCCAGCTCAGAGACAGGGGCGCCCTAAAACTCCTAGGGATATGACCAGCTGCTGGAGGGAGGGAGACGCCTGGGTTCCGGGGACAGAAAACGACACTCTCTACCCCCATCCGGTTCCCCAGACCCGGTTTCCACCGAGGCCCCGCCCTCCCCAGCGCTGTCTCCGCCCCTTGCATAGGAGGCCACATCTCCTACATCTAGATATGCAGAGAGCATGTCAACGCACAGGAGCTGCAGCGCCCCATTTAACCACCAAGAGGCGCTCCAGGGCCGCTGGTAAAAATCGTGCGGGAAGAGATGGCTGGAGGCCAGGAGTTCAAGACCGGCCTGAGCAAAATAGTGACCCACTCTCAACCCCCGCTCCCCGCCTCTCGTCTATACAACAATAAATACAAATAAATAAATAAAATAAACAAATAAATATTAAATCCTGCTGGCGATGGTTTTTCCCGAGCACTGGAAGCGCCGAAGTTTTCCCTGGCCTTTCAATGCTAGACTGCAGAAAGCAGCAGGACAGCGGTTCTCAAAGTCAGGTCCTGGACCAGATGCGTCAACGTCTCCTGGGAACTAGATACACATTATCCGGCCCACCTGAGACCTACAGAACCCCTTTGGGCCGGGAGCCCAGAAAGCTGAGTTTTCAAAGGACCCCCCAGGCACCTGCGATACGGGACCAGCTTGAGAAACGCTCCGGAATCACAGTCTGAGACCCCAGCTGTGGGGTCTGATGGTCTCTAGGATCCCTAGGGTCGCGGTTGTCAGCCCCGGCTGCCCATTGCTGGGAATCACCTGGGAAGCTTTAGGGACTGTTGCTGCCCCAGCGGTGCTCTGCACCATCCCGAGATTCCAAGAGTGGCTCCTGTGTGCATGCTGGACAAGGGCTCTGGGCCATTCCAGGCACAGCCCGGGCGGGGACTGCTACCCTAGGGTTTCTGTCAAGGCCAGCATGTGCAGTGAATAACTGGCCGCCGCTGATATGTAGCAGGAATAAGACGAGATGATGTCTCCTAGGGTTGATTTGAGCACAAACACATCACACCCTTTTCAGTACCCTGAGCAATGCTGGAAGGAAAGCTCTGCTATGATCCCCCTTTCCCATGAGGACATGGAGGCACAGAGAGGTCAAGTAACCAGCCCAAGGTCACACAGCTTGCAAGGGGTGGTGCTGAGGCAGCCAGGCAGCCGAGCTCCAAATTTCTCTTCACCCAGTACCCAACCATTCCCTCTTCTCCTGTCACACCCTGTGGGCCTGGGAGGGGGGACTCAGAAATCAGAAATCAGAAATCCTTCCACCCCCGTGTCTTTTGTTTGTTTGTTTGACAGAATCTCACTCTGTCGCCTAGGCTGGAGTGCAATGGTGCAATCTCGGCTCACTGCAACCTCCGCCTCCTGGGTTCAAGCAATTCTCATGCCTCAGCCTCCCAGGTAGCTGGGATTACAAGCACCTGCCACCACGCCCAGCTAATTTGTGTATTTTTAGTACAGACGGGTTTTCGCCATGTTGGCCAGGCTGGTCTCAAACTCCTGACCTCAAGTGATCTGCCCATCTCGACCCCTCAAAGTGCTGGGATTACAGGAGTGAGCCACTGTACCCAGCCCCTCCACCCCCATGTCTTAGAGCGGCATCCCTCCCCTCCATGTCTGTGTTCTGGAATCACCTGTGGCCTCTTATTTTCCTCTTTGGTGACAATGAGGAGCAGCTGGACTGGTCCAGATGAAGGTGGATTCAGAACCCAACCTCTGGTTTTTTGGGCTTCCTCTTGGAAACCTTTGTGCATTTGAAACCACACCCCGGAGGCATCAAGGGACTGACTGGCCCTGCAGACGCTGTTTCAAGGCGCCTGGGATGAAATCTAATACTGAACACCCTGTTCTGTCTCAGTTACTAGAGGGCTCCCCCCACCTCTGGGGCCTCCCCGAATGCTCGCGGTGGGGATGCTGGGAACAGTTCAGAAAACGTTGTGTTCATTCGAGGGGGAACAAATTTTGACTCAGTGGGGGACAGACTTGCCCAAAGCCTCAAGGCCACCCAGAAAGGCTAGGGTATGGCCCAGGGATGGCCGGGTATACAAATAAGACTCAGGAGGCGTGAGAATCGCTTGAACCAGGAGGCAGAGGATACAGTGAACTGAGATCGTGCCACTGCACTCCAGCCCGGGTGATGGAGACTCTAAAACAAACAAACCCAGGGAGACGGTGTGAAACTGTTTTTTTGTTTGTTTGTTTTTGTTTTGTTTTGTTTTTTGAGTCAGGGTTTCACTCCTGTTGCCCAGGTTGGAGTGCAATAGCGCAATCTCAGCTCACCACGACCTCCGCCTCCCGGGTTCAGGCGATTCTCCTCCTACCTCAGCCCTGAGTAGCCGGGATTACAGGCATGCACCATCACGCCCAGCTAATTTTTTGTATTTTTAGAACGGACAGGGTTTCACCATGTTGGCCAGGCTGGTCTCGAACTCCCGACTTCAGGTGATCCACCCACCTCGGCCTCCCAAAATGCTGGGATTACAGGTGTGAGCCCCCGCGCCCGGGTGTGAGACTGTTTCTGCAAGCATCTGTCTGTGACTGACTGGCGTTTGAGTTTCTGTGTGGTAACATGTGAGTGTGCCCATGTGGCTGAGGGGATCAAAATGTCCAATGGCATCTAGCAGTGTGTGACGTGTCCTGAGTGAGTGAACACGTTGGCATTTGCAAGTACGGCAGTGTTTGCGTGAATGGGTCTGTGGGTGTGTGGGGGTTGCCTTCCCGGAGCAGTGGATCTGTGTGCCTCTGTGAGTACGTGTGTGTGCTACACGTGTGTGTCCGTGTCTGTGTCTATGTATGGGCAGGTTCATCATAATGTCTGTTGGTGAATGTGGTCTGCCAGTGGTGCCTGTGTGTGTACATGTGTCTGTGGTATGTGCTGTGCCTGCGTGCCTGGGTCCGACTGTGCATGTGTATGTGTGTACACACGTGTATGGCAGTGAGAGGGACTGGCCCAGTGTTGCTTGATGTCTGTGAAATCCACACAACTCCATGTTAAATCCATCTTGCCACTTGTTTGGGGTCCACACCGCTTTCCTTCTCATAGGCCCCCCAGCTGTTCCCCGGAGACAGCCCACAGCTCTGGGCGCTGCAGGGAGGAGGAGCAGAGAAACTCACTCTGAGTCTTCATTTCCTGCGTTCTGCTGTTTGCTCCTCCGGTCTCCAAATCCCTCCGAGCATGTCTCTGCTGTTCTTTTACCTTCTAGCTCCTTAGGCAGGCCAGGTCCCTGTGGTCACGTACCTCTGCCCTCTGAGGTGGGCAGCAGCAAAGGACAGCCTCCCTCTCCACCACCAACCAGAACCTTCCCACTCAGCCTCTCCGCCTCCCTGCACCTACAAAGCCTCCCCTCCAGGTGAGGTCCACAGCTTGTATTTTCCCCAGGGCCTCATTCTTGCCAGGCTGTGAGCCGTGGACTACACGGCCAAGTATCCACCACCATGCACAAAAGGGCTCTAGCAAGGCCATGCAGCACGCCAGGCAGCAAGCAGCACCAGCAGTAACCACTCCACTCAGAAAAGAGCTGGGGTGGGGCGCGGTGGCTCACTCCCATCATCCCAGTGCTCTCGGAAGCCGAGGCCAGAGGATCGCTTGATCCCAAGAGTGCAAGTGAGCCGTGATTGCAATACCGCACTCCAGCCTAGGTGACAGAGCCAGACACTGCCTTGAAAGAAAGAAAAGAGAGAGAGAGAAAGAGAAAGGAGAGAAAGAGAGAGAGACAGAAAGAAAGAAAAGAGAAAGAGAGGGAGAGAGGGAGAGAGGGAGGGAGGGAAGGAAGGAGGAAGGAAGGAAGGAAGGAAGGAAGGAAGGAAGGAAGGAAGGAAGGAAGGAAGGAAGGAAGGAAGGAAGGAAGGAAAATTGGAATGAAGGGAGGAAGGAAGGGAGGAAGGGAGGTAGGGAGAAAGAAAAAGAAAGAGAAAGATGAAGGAAGGGAGGAAGGGAGGGAGGGAGGGAGGGAGGGAAGGGAGCGGAGGGGAAGGAGGGGAAGGAGGGGAAGGAAGGGAGGGAGGGAGGAGCGTGGAAGAGAGAAAGACAAAAGGAGGGTGGTGGGATACAATTCTTTACTTTCCAGAGAAAAAAAGTAAGAAACTTAGGCCAGGCCTGCAACCAGTTAGGAAGACAGACTGGCCCCTGGACCTCCATAAACTCCCTTTTCTCCTGCCCTCAGCAAGGCTCGAGTCTGGTCATTTGCTGTTTTTCACTGCTGGGGGTTGTGGGGACACAAGGCAATACAGAGAGAGGCCCCCAGCTTCCTCCCAACCTCCACAGGGCCTTAGCAACCCAATTTCTTCCCAATCATAGGAAGCAGTTGGCTGGGCGCAGTGGCTCATGCCTGTAATCCCAGCACTTTGGGAAGCTGAAGTGGGCGGATCAGTTGAGGTTAGGAGTTCAAGACAGGCTTGGCCAACATGGTGAAACCCCATCTCTACTAAAAATACAAAAATTAACCAGGTGTGGTGGCACACGCCTGTAGTCCCAGCTACTCGGGAGGCTGAGGGAGGAGAATCACTTGAACCCGGGAGGCGGAGGTTGCAGTGAACCGAGATCGCGCCACCATACTCCAGCCTGGGTGACAGAGACTCCATCTCAAAAAAAAAGAACCAGCAGCAGCAATTAATGCACAAGCAATTAATGCACAATACACACAGCCTTTTTTTTTTTTTTTTTTTTTGAGACAGAGTCTCACTCTGTCACTAGGCTGGAGTGCAATGGTGCGATCTCGGCTCACTGCAACCTCCACCTTCCGGGTTCAAGAGATTCTCCTGCCTCAGCCTCCCGAGTAGCTGGGACTACAGGCGTGCACCACCAGGCCAGGCTAATTTTTGTATTTTTAGTAGAGACAGGGTTTCACCATGTTGGCCAGGATGGTCTTGATCTCTTGACCTTGTTTGTATCCACCCGCCTCGGCCTCCCTAAGTGCTGGGATTACAGGTGTGAGCCACCACGTCCAGCCAACCACAGCCCCTCTTTTAGGCCTTTTCTTATTGCAATGAGTTTTCAATGTGTCCAATGGCCGAATTGCCCAGATGTTTGGAAGCTTGATGCAAACAGAATTCAGAGCCACACAGGCACCGCTAGCAAATCCACATCTCTGATGCTGAGGGCCCCAGAATCTGTGTTTTGAACGCATTTTTCAGATGCTTTTACTGTACCTTACAACCAAGATCGGGAGAGGTATGCAAACCAAGGGCCCTGTCCCCTCCAAAGCAGCAGAGTCCAGGGGCATGAGGATGGCAAGCGAAGTGACAACATAAACACAGGTGTCTCCATCTTCAAGGATGGGAGTAGAACGGACAGGAAGGGCCGGGTCACCCCCAGAGCATTCGTCAGTTGCCAAGTCCAAAGCTAAGAAACCAGTTCATAAATGTTTTTTTATTTGCATGTTGGCTCAAGTCCTCTTTTTAAGTC